ATAACGCTAACGTCAATTATCTAAAGAAAGACTAAATTAAATTCTACACAGAACATACAACTCCCAGTTAAACCAATCCTTCCTTGCCAGTATTGCAATGCCTCGCTATTCTCCCACTGAACATAAATTTTTTCCCACGTAATATCCCGACACAATAAGTCTCCTTGATGCGCACTCCAACAGCCCCGATATATTGTGGTGACATTAGTATTTTGGATACACGCAACAACAACACCTGTATATATGTGGTGGGTGTAGCATTGTCATTGGTTCGTACGTGTGTCATTCCAATTGTGGGTCAGTGCCTACCATTACCTGCGTTAGAGGGAGTGACCATGTCAATGGTAATTATAAGTAGCTTGCACACGGGGCCAGTAGTGGCAGCCAGTACTACTTTATAAGTAACCTGTAAATCTGTAACTAATTACCAAGCTGCAGGATTAGTGTAACGGGTTACTAGATCTGTTATTTGACAGTAGCGCCTAGACTCGGTATATGATGGCGGTTAGTATTATAAAGTTGTACTGACCACTATTATTATCTCCGTGGACAAGCACCTTTACAGGGATTGGACGAAGTAAGGGAATAACTGAACATTTGAAATCACAATTTGTGAACATGTTATAAACAACAAAACTTGAAATATTTCAAGGTTTTATAGTTTATTATTGGTGCTATTTGATATCTTATATTTTTACCGATATATTTAAAAATTGTTGTCTCTACAACCATTTAAAACTGACAAACCTCTCTGAGTTTCAGAGAGGCAAAATTGTTGGTATACATACTCGTATAGCAGGTGTTAGTCACACTCTAACAATGCACACTTTGTATCAATCAATACCCGGACAATTGAGGCTGTAATTGCCATAAAGGTAATTACAGACTTGTTGTTTAAAGGTCAACAAATGTTGTTGTTGTTTATGTTGTTGTTAAAAGTTCAGCATTGATAGCCTACACAATTAATATTAAAATACGTTATGTGGATTCTTAAGGAGTTTACACTATTCCAACACTTGAATATACACTCCCCAAAAATGCACAAAGATCCAAATTAATAAAACATGCTGGATGAAATGGCTTTTATTACCAAGTTAATCTGGATAATATGGTAAATTTTCGCAAATTATTGTGAATGTAATTGGGAAGTATCCTTGGAAACGTAACTATGACCTGTTGAGGTAATTCTAGTCAATGATTACCTTTAATAAATTCCGAAATTCTTCGAACAAATTCCTGTCAATGATTGATTAATGTTTAATAAATTCCAAAAATAATATAAGAATTGCTGTAAAAATTATTAAAATCAGTTTTGTTTCAAAATACCGGAGCATATAACTCATTTCTGTCAGGAGTTAGCTCAGCTGGAAGATGGCAAACAAGAAGGCAAGGAAAAATTGCGCCGTGAACCCTAACCCCGCCTTACCAGGTCAGAAGGAAAATGTATATGTAATGAAGCTGGTTGCTTGCTCGGGTTCATTTCTCACTCGTGTCAGGTACCTTCCTTGAAGCGCTCCTATCAACCATTAACATTTTATTTAAACAACACTAAATTGGATAGGCAATACATTAATAAAAAGGAACGTAATCAGAGAAACACTAAATATATACAGTTGGCATAATGTATGCCCAATACTGGTAGCGGCTTGACAAGAGATCAGGACTCCCTCTTGATCCGGTAGCTCCCAGACGGGATCTTCAATCTCGACCTTTAATATTAATATGGTCTACGGCCCGCCCTCCAGAAGCTCTCACTGAATCCAGCTCCGTAACCCTACACGTGAAACAAATTATATTTCAAGACTGACCAGTCTGTACGGCAAATACGCAATGACAATCACAGCTGATGAATTGATTCCTAATTTATGCCCTATTATAACCAATCATTTGATTCAATACTATGTTCGAAGAATAAATTAGCGGCGCAACTCACCAATAAAGGCAGTGCTTGTCAGCTATGCTAAAGTCACAAAATTGCACTAAAGCGAGTTGACAATGCCGTTTCATGGGTTGCTCACCGTATGACCACTGGCTACCAACTGACATGCAGCAGTCGATTCCTACTGTTGTCGCCTCCCATTCAGTGCTTTCTAGAACTTACTTTTAGACCCTTACAATATATACCGCTTCATTTCGAGAACTAAAGCTCGTAAGTTGGAACACTTCCGCATTCGTGTGGCGATAGACGTTGAGATATTGTAAATGAAAGCATTATTAGAGTAGATTCAATTTTTACAGAAAATATCAAAAATACTAATTGAGATTCTCAATATATTCGAAAGATCAGTCCAGGGTGTAAAGATTTACACTTCGTCACTTCCAGCGTTAGGGTTTTGAGAAAATTTTGAAGAGAACAGATTCGTAGAGTGCCAGCGTGCCGGAGGTGACCATGATACCATGAGAGCCTGGACCAGGTAAGTGGCCAGTGACATGGTAGCGAGCAACCAGTGCGACGAAATCAAGACCAGCGAATATCACTTTTCATGAGTGTAACCAGTAGCATTGGAGTAACCGGTAGGCAACCTGTTCCATACGGGCAACCTGTACCTATAACAAGCTTTCGCCGCTTAAATAGGATTATACTTTTCGTATAATAAGAAACGCAATTCCACATCCTAGCGGGAACTAAATTACCGGTACAGAAATGCACGGTCGAATTTATTCCAAGCTAACATACGTATGTTATCCCTCAACATCAAACTTACTTATAACGCTACCAGAAAGCGTTGATCCGCGGTGCGGTTCTAATCTGGTATGGTTTTTGTAAATGTTTGTGTTCCTCCATTCAATCAAAATTTGATGTTTTTCGTAATGATACTGACATGCGCGACTATACATAGGAATGGCTTTCACTGAAATATGCATTCATTCATAGGAATAGCACTGTCACTGCGGCTAGGAACAAGTGGAAGCGTTCATGCGAGCAGCGGATGCTTCTTGACGACGACTGGACAGAATTCAGAGGCCAGCCTGTGCATGTGGCTGCCTGACTGTACTTTCTTGTCTCGGGTCATGTAGTTGAAGAAATGCAGGCCCAGACTGTCCGGGTACAGCTGCAAAATAAATATATTCTAATAAAAATTAAGAAGCCACAGTGAACGGTGAAAATTATCCTTTAACCCTGAATGTTGCACTTTTATGACTGGTACTGCACTGCAGAACAGCATTGTATCCCTAAACCAATATTTTAATGTGACCCTCCAACACATTATTGAGTATCATCATACGAGTATTTATGAATATTGAAAAATTTTTCGCTAGCTTGTCTAAGATATTGGTTTTGAACATACCTTTGTCCAGAACATCTGCAGTACTTTCAACTAAAATGACCTGAATTCCGTTACTTTTATTTAATCTGGCAATAGACACAGCACGTTCATATAAGATACATAAAGCGGGGATGAAGACTCTCCAACCAGCGATAAATTTCTATGATATGAATGCATTGCTCATCACGGCCATGAGAAAATAATTTTTCTCACTGCTTTTTGGCCGTGAAAATATTGCAGTTATTATTTTCCGTGAGAAAATAACAGTTTTTTGGCCGTGAAAATTTAACTGATGTTCTTCATCGTAGGAATATCACCGTTAGTTTTGGCCATGAAAATATCCCAGTATTTTGGCCACTAGAATATTACAGTTACTTCAGGCCGCGAGAATATCAACTTCTATTGCAAGTGAAAATGCCAACGTTTTTCTTCTACTCTGAGAATTTAGTTTTTTTGCCTGAACATTTCACAGTTATTTTTTGTCGTGAAAATTTCACAGTCCAGAGTTCAGGTTGAAATTTCACGCACCAAATTTGCCCCACAATCTCTACCCCGCGGATACAGCTCGTAAACAATGACCTATACTCACTGTTTGTATGGGTGGAGAAGTTTCATTCTTCTCAGGTCCAAGAAAAAGTTTATATGCCGCGTCGTAGTGCACGGCCATGAAGGCATTGGACCGAAGTGCCACCCAGTCGCATTCCTCCGTCTGGTCTGCACATTTCAAGGGCGAGTCACCGGCGGATAACGACAAGCGATGGACGGCCACCCATGAGTCACCGGTGAGTTTATTTGGTTTGGATACTATCAGGTTCAAGGGAGAAATATCAACAGAATACAGGGTCCGCCATATATAACGGCAACGGATGTTTGCTATATACAAATAAATTGGTTTCTAGGAGACTTTTCTTTTATAATGAAGCTTAATATCACCTCTTAATTCATCTATTTTATATTGCAGAAGTCTAAGATGTCTAAATTTACAATTACTTATGGCAGTAGATAGAAATACAATTGTAACCCTTCATGAAAAGGGCGAGAGTAATTCAGTCAGTGCAAAAAAGCTCCAAATTCGTCGTGAAACTGTGTGGAAGGTGGTAAAAAAATTCAAGGAAACTGGTGAAACATGCAATTGACCTGGTCAAGGAAGGAAACGAAGTGTCCAAACAAAACAATTGCTCAAAAACACGAGGGAGAAGTTGAGGAAAAACCCTCGTCGCCCTGCTGCAAAATTGGCTGCAGAAGCTGGAGTTAGTCAGACATCAATGCGTAGAGTCCTCAAAGATGACCTCAAAACCTCCCCTTACAAGATGCAAACAAGGCATGAACTAACAGACCGCCATGAACGAATGAGGCTCGAAAGATGCCAGCACATTCTGGCTCTCATTGAAGATGGCACGCTGCCCAACTTGGTGTTCAGTGGCGAGAAAAAATTTGCCATTGAGTAAAGCGTTAACAGTCAAAATGACAGAGTTTGGAGTCGGGATGGACCTGTGTCAACCAGAACTGCAACACGACGTCAAAATCCCATGTCCGTGATGGTTTGGACCGCGGTAACCGCCACTGGGAGGTCACCACTCGTTTTTGTCCCCTCAGGAGTGAAATTGAACACTCAGCGATACATTTNAGCAACATGGCCCAACATGCCCTCACATTATAGTTGGCAGCAACATGCCCTCACATTAGAGTAGGCAGCAACATGGCCCAACATGCCCTCACATTATAGTTGGCAGCAACATGTTTCATGACCCTCAGCAACATGGGGTGGTGGCGCCGCATGCGGTGGATGGCGTGGTTCAAGTTGCCGCTCTCGTCGTACTGGAAGTATAGTTTTCATTTCCTTGAGTTACTCCTGTGAAATATTTTCTGAGGAAGTCTAGAAGTCTATGTATAGGTTGCTAGCTGAATGCAATTTAGTTCAGTCACTCGTTAACTGAACTTTCTGATTTTTGTTCATGTAATCTGACTTATCGTCGTTTCTAATTACCAACTGTAATCTAAATAATGTTAAAAAGTAGAAAGCACGGACTGTTATAAGACTAAGTAGAGAATTTATGTCACTTGTTTGCTTAAATCGCAAGTTAACTAAAAATCTTAGAGCATAAAATAGTCCACAAAAATTCATTTCTTTATAGAAAACGTTACGAGAGCAGCTCCATCGTCAGTTCGAGGAACCTAGAATAATAAATTAGAAGTCACAAATTATTAAAATGAAAGCACAGAAGAAAATTAAAAACCTAAATTTACAAAAAATAGAGAGCAAAAAAATCTATCTATTCACAACTTCAAGGGGATAGAAGCACGGTATGTAGAACATTCCATGCTATGTTCTACATACCATGCTATGCACGCTGAATTTGAATTTTTACGCAAGATTTTCGCGCTTAATGGATTTCCGGTAACTTTGTTTTTTACCCAAATTAAGAAATTCATGTCGTAGCGATACAGTGAGGTTGTTCCCGAGCGCAATAGTACGAACGTTATTTATTGTTCTTTTCTATACTTCGGCCCTGCGTCCGAAGCTATGTCAAGAGACGGACGCGGTATAAGTTTGCTTGAGAAACTCTGCGGATTGTTTAGTTATATGCTATATGTTCCGCAGTTGTCCCTGTAGCATAAAGTTTGGCTTGGGGTACCTCCAGCGCGATGAAGTTGGTGGCGCCCACCAGAGGGCGCAGGGCGATGACGTCCATGTCCGAGTACAGACCTCCGAACTTGTACACCAGCGCCACGCGGCTCATGTCGCTCAGGTTGTGGATTTTGTGCGCTGCCAAGATGACAAAATGACCATTACGGTTGCGACATTGCTGCTAGATCCCAATGCTTAAAAGACTTGATGTTCATGACTTATATTTACAATATCTCCCTAGGAACAGTTTCACACCTTGGTATTGTAATTAAGTGCTACATCAAAATAAATATATGTTGCGTCCTTAAATTGTTCCCGGGATAGACACAAGCTATTACTTCCGTAACATCAATTCAAGTGAGAAGATACTCACAAGTTTTATTGAACTTTTTGGAGTGGTAAAGTTCTAGCAGCGGAGTGCCCTTAAAGAGCGAGTCGAAGTTCACATGAGCCACCCACAAGTTCTGGTAAGCGGCCTGAAGTGCCTTCAAGGCTGCCATCGTCGAGGGTTCTAAGAACTGAGCCGTCACCAAGAACCACACGGTTGCTTGTGGATTTACTTTACAGTAACTGGAGAGATGGGCAAAAAAGGTAAGCAAAGGTTCGCTTAAGGCCTGTTGCTGGCAGTGGCCGAGACCGGAGGAGTGGGGTCAAGAAGTGGACTAATGATGGCCTAGACGTACCTGATGAGTCAGGGTTAGAGGGAGCGTCTGGGCAAAATTTTACCTCAGCTATTTACGGACGGATCAGTTTGAAACTTGGTACACATGTGTAAAACCAAAAGATAAAATTTTTTTGTTCATGTGAATTTTGCAAAAGAAATGAAAGAAAACGTGTAATTCATTAGAAAATGGACCAAAACGGGGGTACTTTAGAATTCGATCTCCTCCTAGGATTTTCAGACTACAACATCAAAACACATATATTTCAATGCGCAAACGCCAGATCTATAAAACGTCGCATACGTTTTTTGAAATTTCCATTTTTCTAGGTGTTGGACCATTTTTCGTAAAATTTTCTAAATTTTTCGATTTTACCCCGCCACCCCCCTCCTTTTTTGCATTATAAAATCCAAACTATAACGAAATTTGAAAAATGTATGCGACGTTTTGTAAATCTTTTCTTTGCGCATCGAACGGTATCTCTCATTGTTGTAGCTTTAAAACTCTAGGAGGAGATCGGTTTGCAGTGACAATAAGTTAACATTTCAGTAGGGCCCGACAAAGTCGCGCGCGCCTCGAAAAAGACATTCAAGGGTGCAAGGTTGCAAGACTAGACGATATTGGAGCTCAATTTCTGTCAACGATGGTACGAATGACGGCACGAGAATCATCCCATATGACTGCAGGCGGATAACTGAAGCACAGCGTATTCAGACTAGCTATTTAAGTGTGCTATCTTAAAGGTTAAAGAACTCCACCACCCCTAACCTTTTTGCGATCTGTCGTGAACGCATAAGTCAACGTACAGAGATGGTTTTGGTACCGATAGATCCATCAGAATGTAAGCTTTAAGATAAGTACCTATAAAATCCGAAAAAGTCGAAATTTTCGATTTTGACCCAGACGCTCCCTTTTAAGAATAGAAGGAATAAAATGATAATAGCAGAACTACCTTGGAACCCAATCAATAGATAGCAAAAGGAGGGTATCGTCACAATCTGCACAAAAAGCTTAAATCATATGTTACCGATATTTACTCACAATTTTATTTCGAATCTTGCCAAGCAAAATTTACCAATTACCCCCGAATAAAACCTGGTCATTTACTCACAATTTTATTTAGACATCAAAAATTTGAGCACTGTCTTACGACCACTTACCCACAATCTTGACCATCAATATCTTGGGTTAACTACCATTTACCCCGATTATGCACTTCTTGACCGAGAACTCAGGGCTTAACCTAGAGCGGTTGTCGGAAAAAATACTTCTGTTGAATATATAATTGATTTAAATTTTGAAATACTTTCCAGGACTGGTGTGCTCATCTATTTGACTCAACACAAAGCTATGAGGTACTTTATACGTTTCAATACACAGCTCATGAAACTCAGCAAAGGGCATATCACAAGCAATATAATCACTATGAATATTCTTCATATCAATGAAAGGTAACTCAAATAGACTTAATAAATTCGAATTCGTTCTAATGGTTTGTCTTGGTAGTATGTGATAGTTTTGGGATAAGTAAATTGAACTACAGTAATTGTGTCTTCCACGGATGTAAAAACTATCAGCAGGATTTTAATTCTTTTCTGTAGCAATATCATCATAAATGATCATTATTCTTCTTCATTGGATCTATATCACGGGGATCAGGTACAGAAGCAGAACTCTCAAAATATTCGACTGCACATTTTTGTTGACGTTTTTTATGTAAGTTTTTGAGATGTTCATCAATATTACCATTACCATTATTTCAGATTTATTATATCCCTTATTGAAAGCGTTCTTCAATAACTTATATTTAGGCTGATGAGTTGATATGCTATACAGGAAAAGATTGTTGAAGTTAATAAAATTCTCCAAAAGCAACTTCAGTAGCAATGACGTTTTTCCGCAGTTCGAACTTCCAATTATGAGGCACCTCAAACTTGGAGAAGGAAACACAAAATAGTTCTTCTGTTTATTTTTATTATCGTCTTTCCACTTATAGAGTATTTCTTGAAGTTTAATTTCTAAAATACTTTCAATGTTTGTTCTAATATATTTACTTGAATTGTAATCTGATTCATTTCGGTGGAGAGATGGCGAATATCATAGGGAATATTATCAACATCAATCTGCAGCTGATTAATATTTCCGGAATTGAACATCACCTCTCTTTGAACATCTGTTATTGCGTCTTCCATTTTTACAAGAAATTTCATCAAGCTTTCTTCTTCTCACAGGCTGCCTCGAAAGACAATAGCGTGTAATTGAACTACCCTCTATTAAGTTTAATTTATTTCCATCATAAATGACTCTATGTTTTCGCATATTTTTAATGGGTTCATTACACTTGATTAGATGTAATGACTTTTCTAAGCCAAACCGTAAATACATTAATTAGAGTGAATAGTCAATCTTTTGTCTATCAATTATTTCATATTGTGCATTAGCTTTCATTTTTATTAATCAAGATTACAAATGCATTTGAAGAATTTAAAAACTTAGAATGTTTCTCATTTAGCTGAAATCAGTTTGAAGGTCCGTTCCTCATTGATGCTCAATTTTTCTGAGTCGTTCAAACAATTGATCTTGAACTCTTTTTAATTCTGCTAGTTCGTTCTTATTTGATGCTATATTTCTAACAGCATCATCAATAAACGCTTTAATTTCAATCTGAATCCCCTCCAGTGATGATAACTTTTCATTCAGAGATACCACCAAATTTTCCATTTGTTCATTCAATTTTTCCCGAATCGTCTTTACTTCTTCATCGAGAGTTTCCAACTTTGAATTCACTTTTATCATTTTGATAGTGACTTTCCATCAAGAGTTTCCACTATTGATTTTACTGCAGGCAATTCTTTCTCGAGAAAGTTGATATGCATCATAACACCATCCCTCACTACATCTATTTTTTATTGATCATTTCTGAATCCATTACATGAACATCTGAGACTTTTAAAGCCCCCTCATCAGCATAACTCTTGCATGCGGCATCCTTATCCTCAATTGGGCAAGAGATATTTTCAAGTCTCCGATTATTCAGATCAAAATTTTTTTCAGCGTCAAGGTACTGAAAGCCAATACCTGGAAGACCTCTTAGATGTGATATGGGTGTGCTATTAATTCATGTTCCAAATATATTAACACCAGTCATTTTAAGAAGTAAAACTTCTAAAGCCTACAGAATTTCCGGAACTCTAGAAGCTACAAGATTATTTATACGACCAGTTAATATTTTGATCAATCCTATGTTTTTATCAGTTTCATTTTGCAGCATCAATTTAAGTTGATTAATTTCATTCTGATTTGATATAATATCTCTAGAAAACTCATGAAATATGTTTTTTAATATCCCTAATATCATTATTAATATCTTCCATTTTTATCTGTGAAACTGACCCAGCTCGTAACTCCATGACTTGTTCTGTTATGTTGTTAAATTTTACATCATTAATTGAAGCTAAATTTGACTCCAAGCTTTTGAATCTCTGGTCAACTTCAGCGAAAGATACTTTTCCATCAATTTGTAAGTCGAGGTTATGAATCCGCAATTCTGAAGTTTTAAGCTTTACATTTACTAAATCTTCAAACGCTAGCTGTACTCTATGGATCTCCTCATCAGTTTTAATAATCAATGTCAAATTTTCTTCACTATGCAATTTCGAATTCTTATCTTTATCATCGAGCGTTACCTGCAAATTATTTAATTTCCCCTCAAATTGTTTCATTAATTTATCCTCAATACCCATTGAAGAATACCCAATACCATTGAGATAAATCGAGCGCTAGCTGCAAACTGATTATTTTCTCGTAAATTTTCTAGATTAGTTTTTCTTCAACATATAATTCCAAATTCTTGACTTTATTATCGAAAACTGACTGCAAACTGTCAATTTTCTAATCAAATTGTTTAATTAGTTTTTGTTCAGAAGAATCGATCTTGGACTCTAAAATTTTAAATTTGTCTGCAAAGCTAGACTCTAAAAATTTCAAACCTTAATCAGTATCAGGAAACTCAACTTGTAAATCTTCTCTCAGGGTTGTAATAATTGAATTGAAGCTGGAATGTTCATTTCGAAGAGTTTCGATTACAGTTTTGAAAGACTCTAAGGGAAATACTTTAATTGGTTCTTCCTCACCATCTTTGCAAGTTGATGAAAGATTCAAATTATTTGCATAGATGTAATACTTGTCATGTTATAAAGAATAAATTAAAGAAATTTTAATACCCATTCTTAAAACGGTCTAATAGGATGGAATCAAATCTCTCACACTCCAGTCTTTTTAATATTTCTAAAAATAAACGTCCACAAATTACATCACCCATTTTTGTATTTTATAAGCGGACCAAACAAAGGTTGCATTTATTAATGTAAGTTTTAAATTCGTTAGGACCTATCAAACCATAACTATCAAAGTAATAACAGGTGTCATTTTCCTTATACCAACAAGTCCAATGCGTTCCAATTCCCTCTTTCTCATAAAGATTCAAAATTCCTCGCTCCGTTATAATGCTTCAAATCATGTTGTGTTAATGCTTCAATGGGTATTATTTTCTTGGTGGATTCAAGTAGAGACCTCCCCCACAAGATTTTTTCGGTGAATTTTTTTTCGCTGGAATCAATCTTAAACCAGATCCCTTTTTAGCTTTTATTGCTTCATTATGTCGTTTCGTTTCTGCTATAAGTTTATCGTCAGCTTTCTTTTTATTGACCGCACTAGCTATACGGCAGAGACCCAGCAGGGCCTAGAGCTCCTAGGATAGCAGGAATTGAAAAGATGAA